GCACCCCGCACCCCACTTGCCCGGGGGTCTCCCACCTTTTTAAGCACCCAGATCATGTTTTCAAGGCAGGGTCTACCCCAAACCCCTGCACCCCCTCCTTGAGCGCCCCTTCTCCGAGGCCCTGCTCCTGCTCTCTCCATCCTCCCTCTCTTCCCCATCCTCCCTCCTTTTCACTGGGGGGGGCGCAGATGGGGGGGGACACAGGCTGTAGTCTTGGGCTAAGGGATCTGGAGTGGGAGGGGGCTCTTAGCTGAGTTGGGGTACAGGAGGGGGGTCAGGATACAGGCTCTGAGGGAGTGTGGGTCCAGGGGGCTCAGGGCTAGGGGTGCAGGAGGGGCCATGGGCTCAGAGCTGGCTCCAGCTGGGCATTGCTTTCCTCAGTGAGGCCTGGGTGGCGGGGCAGTGAGGCTGAGTCAGGCTCACACTCTCCAAAGCAGGCAGCAAACTCTCTCCACTCCAAACCCTGTTGTGCCCCTGCCAGTCTGTGGAAATAGACTAGAATGTGGGAGGGGGCACCTTGCCATCAGCACCCCCTCCTCTCCCTTCCCAGCTCTGCACAGCCAGCAGGAGGCTGAAGGGGGGAGGGGAGAAGGGCAGCCCCAAGGCAAAGGGCAGGAGATGCACAGCAGTGGAGGAGGGGCAGCTGAAATGCTAGCGCTTGATAGCCTCTGGGCCAAGCCAAGAGCTGAGGGGATCACCTGTCAGAGGCTCCAAGATCTACTGGTTGGTGACCACTGCACTAAGATGCCAGGGGGCTGCAGGGGTTATTGCCTAGCAATTGCAAGCCTGAAACTGACCGCTGGCGGGGGGAGGGGGGGAATGAGAGAATAAGTGCTCAGGTTAGGTGAGGGGCCGGCCAGAGCTGATGGGTTTACGAAGGTGGATTCCAAAGTGCCTGAGCACAGCGAGAGGAGCTGCCCTTTCAGTTCCCTTTCATTAAAAGAGAACCAATAACAAACTAATTCTGATGGCTAAGGGGGCTCCCTGAGGATTTTAGAGCAAGGTGGGGCTGGCCTGCTCCATGTACACGGTTAGGAACAGGAGGTTGGTAGCTGTCAAAAGGCTTGGTTTGGGCAGAAGAGAATCTGAAAGGGCAGGGGAAATAAACCAGTGAAATTAACATGCAGGTTTATAAACCCTGTGGCAGCGAAACTGGGAGCCCAGCCGTAGGCTCCTGATGCCAACGCTAGAGGGGGTGGAGGCGGAGGCAGCGGGGCTGGAGCCAAGCAGAGATACTGCCCTGTGAAACCTGGCAGCTGCCAAAGGGCACAGCTGCTCAGCAGCACTGGGAGGCACAGGGCTGTAAGCCTGACCACTAGGTTGCCAGGTGGTGGGGCCAGGCACCCAGGAGTGAGGCTGGCCCGTGGTGCATCCAGAGGTGGGGCTGCCCTGTGGTGCAGCAAAGAGCCTGGCAGCCTTTCTGCTGCCCGGCGGAGCTGCCTGGTGAGGCTGGGAGGCAGCGAGGCTGCCCAGTGAATCTGAAGCCAATGCAGGTGTGACGGCACGTTGGGGGTCCCCCATCTCCTGCACCCCGAAATGGCACAAACAGACTGCACCAGCCCGTGGAATAGAGGAAGTTTATTGCCTCTCCAGGATACAGCACAGCACAGATGGAATCTGGTCACAGAGCTGGGCTAGGCTTCCTCAGGCCCCCTTGAGATGGGGGAGACTGGGCCCCTAAACTCCAGCCCCTTTCCCTAGGCTGTCTCCTCCATGCTCCCAAACAGCAACTAAACTCACTCTCTTCCAGCCCTGCCCCCCAGCCAGGGCAGCCTCCTCCTTCCTTTGTTCCTCTCCATGGGGGGTATCTGGTTCAACCAGTTTGGCATCACCTTTGCATAGTGAGGTTTTCCCTGCTGGGTCTTGCTCCAGACAGCAGAGGTCACCACAGCCCGACAAGTACCCCCACTACGTCACAGCAGGACTTGTCACCTGCTGGCTCCACTGGACCCCGGCAGGGGACTGCCCAGTGGGGATGGAGCCAGGCAGTGGGACTGTGCATGCCAGCAGCAGGCAAGGAGCCCTGCATGTGGAAGGGCTGCTGGCAGGGGGAAGCCAGCTGGGAGGCTGGCAGCAAGGCCATGGCTGGGGGGACTGGTGACAGGGATAGGCCCAGCAATGACCTTCCCTGATCTGGCAAAATCCCTCCTCCAGGACAATGCTGGTACGTATATACACAATATTGCCAGGAATGCACGTAGGAAAAACAGCCAAGGTCTTTTTGAAACAGACCTGGATAATTTTCTGTTTAGAACTTCTGATGAGTGTCCTAAGAGTTTTATTCTTTTCAAAAGTAAATAATATAGCCAATCAATAGTGGTTTGAAGACTGCAACTCTGTGATAGTCTTCAAATATTGATGTATTTAAAACACAGCAAAGCTTACAAATAAAAATAGATCAGTTATATTTGATATATGGATTATTAGATCATCATTAAATAAACAAGGTCATTCTATTCAGTGCTGTGGGCAATTCAACAGTGGGGAGAACCCCCCCTTTTAAATGTTCACCAGGTACAGATATCTTTGCTTCATCACTCTTGGCTTTCTAGGATTTCTCAGAGCTAAGCTCTTTTTTTTTTTTTTTTTTTTAAAGAGTTGATACCTTGTTTTCATAATCCAATCAGGCTGGATATCTGTCAGCATTACAGAAATCCCCAAAGATGGCTTCCAGGCTGCATGGCTTTTGAAATAATTGGATCCATTAAGTTTTATCAATATTTTTCTTTAGAGCATGGGTGCCAAGCACCCTTGTCTCAAGAAAAATCGAACAGCAAAATGTGAATGTATTTACAATATCATCAACTCTCTGTCAAGGTCAACTCTTTTCCATTTGTATGTGGATGACATTTCTGTTTCTTTCAAAGGTGTTCCCTGTGTGAAACAATGGCATAGGGCCCCGTATCTGTAGCTCACAGCCCTGTTTTACTTATAGACATTCAGAGCAAAGTTGGGTATGTTTGAAAATCTCAGCCTTAACCCAAAATGTCCTGATGCTGGGATGTGATGATGGACAGGACAACAGAGTCGAGCGCAGAAGACAGTTAGCCACAGTTACTTGGAAGTCCTAGACAGGACTGTATTTTTCTTGAATTAATTTTCTTGCACCACAACTTTTTACAGGCCTGATGGTTTTGCTAAGTTCGCAGAATAACCCTTTTTTAACCAATTCAACAGCATTAGGCCCATCAACTTCTGTTTAGGTCTCCCCTATAACGGCAACCACAGAGAATCATCCAAATCCAGAGACAGGACCAGGCTCCAAATTCCAACACTGTCTCTGAGCACTAGTCTCTTCAAGTGATGCAAACCACCCACAGCTCTGGTACAGTGAGTCATCTGCCTCTTAAAGATGCAGCATTAGTATTACCAGAAAGTCGATTAGTTCATTTAAACACCACATAGACTTCTCAAAATAATTTCCAAGAGGGAGGGGAAGGGCTGTGATTTTGTAATCCCCCAAATTAAATCTTTCAAGTGATTCAGGCTTAATAGTTACCCATCTCTGTACAGCCTCTCCCCAACTTACGAACCAGTTACGGACCAAGCAATTGGTCCATAACTCGGTTTGTTCGTAAGTTGGACCCCATAGAGTTACACACGACTGCGCTGTTCGTAAGCATAGATCGCATTCGTAACTTGGGGTCCGCCATTTACGACAGTTTCGGTCGTAAATGTGAATGGTCATAAGTCAACTGTTCGCAACTCGGGGACTGTCTGTATTCTTGGTGCTTTAAGGGATGCATCCCTTTGATATGGACAATTAGCTCTATCATCCAAATCCTGATACATTATCCAGTTGTTCTGTAGACTAGAACAATAAATTTCTCATCACTTGTAATCCAGGGCCCATTTCAACTGAAGTATGAAGAGATAGAACATTATATTGTCTATATTATCTATATAATATAATCTATCTTTTTCAAATCTCCCTTGGATTCCGTTGGGTACTTACGATCCCCACAAATTCAATGGATGAAATTTGTCCCTAATATAAGCTCACTAATGTCAACAGACTTAAAAACATGAATTTGGTCCATTTTGTGTTTACATGGAACTGGAAGGATGCAATGATAAACCAGCACTTCCATTGTGATCAAACATAGAAAGTGATATTGCCTACATTACATCATGTTCTGCAAGTATTTACCCAGGAGCAGTGTTTCCTGTAAACCAACCCTACTCAACACGCGGCCCATGGCCCATTTGTGGCCTGCGGTGAAGTTTGGGTTTACACGGGGCTCAACTCGTGGCCTGCAGGAGAGATCCTTTGAACATGGCCTCCACTGGGAAAACATTCCACAACGGCGAGTCAATATAATGGTCTTCTGTTGATATGCGTTTTAGTAGTTAAATTCCTGGATTGTCATTGCTCATTAAAAGTGCTGCTATATGGGTGGAAATCACGTAAATAATCATTTTATTAATATCAGCAGAATTGATTTAAATGGGGCCTGTGTGTTGTG